ATACAAAATACCTCATCATGTAGCATGCAACATCTGACCAGAAATGGGATTATTCATATTAATCCCACTAGTGTGAACTACTGCTTAAGAACGTTTAGCCTGTGCTAGACTATTAAAACAGCAAGTTATTTTAACTACTGAATGTTTTTATGTTACAATGAGTAATATGAATTATTCATGGTTATATTAAAGTCACATGCAGCAGTTCCAGTTTGCCTGTGTAAAGACTATGATCTGCTGTGGCTAAGTAACAGCAGATTTACATTTACAGTGTAAATTGTTAGAAATAACCATACATCTCTGACTAATTTAGCAGACTGATCAGAAAAGGCCTGTGAGCGTTATAAAGCGCTACTAACCCACTATGGCTGAAGTTTATCAAAATGCTTCCAAGACTGAAGGCCAATACATTCAGTACAAGGTTTAACTGCAAACAGCTAGCAGTGTGCTGAGCGTCTTGTCCCTGTAGTAGGCACTTATAGTTCATATATAAACTACATAGTTCACAAAACGTGTCAGTGAAATAGTGCTCTGAATAGCTGCTCAAGTGGTAACCTCCTTTTGAAAATATTTTTATATTGGTTATCATATTCCAACCACAGAACTGCAGTCTCCTAATGGAGACAATAGTTTTTGGTTGGTTTTTTTTTTTGGTCTACGCATTAGTCATATTGTAGATGGATATTTTGAGAATGTAGCTGAACAATTTGTTTTGCTAGACTTCCTTTACAGCACAGCTGTGCTGCAGTCCAGCAGTCTGGAAGGCATATCCTACCTGATTCCAGGGCCAAAGTAACATTAGAGTGAACCACGAAAACCAACTGGAGGAGCAAGAAATGTTAGAATGAAAAGTCTCCAGCAACTGATTTAAGAGTTGTTTTGACTGCAGTAAGGGAAATGGGCTGTCAAAGGTTATATAGATCTTGAATTGTTCTTTGCTCTAGCAAAACAAAAAATGAAATAGCCACCTGACTTGGTTTGCAGGAGAGGAGGGACAGCACTGAGACAGAAATGCATTGCTTCTGAACCCGCACAGCACACCACAGCCTCAGGGGAACAGAGCACATCTGTGCCTCACCACACCAGGCAGAGCCTCCTCGCTACCCAGTACTGACAAAAGTAGTTAGTTGTGTCCCAAACCTAACTTTATAATGAAAGGACATCCTTCGTAACATGGCTAACTCACCATTAGTGGAGGATGCCATAAAAAGGTGAAGCAGAGACTAGTCCAATACAGATGCCTGAGCTCTTGAAAGGATAATAGAACTTATTTTCTCCAGCTGTACCTTGCCTCTAACAGGTTTAACTTAGGTCTTATAAAAGCATTCTTGACCTGGTCAAAGAAAATATCTTCAAGTGAAAGACTAATGAGTCAGGGGCATGAATACAACTGTTCATAAGAATTTATTTTTTTTAAATATTGAAAAGATAACAAAAACATCAGCCAAAAAATGTTTTCACAGAGTAGAAAGCATTACTTACCACACATTGAACTGGCCAGGTTGATAAATGAGGCATGATACTCAACACACAAGTCAAAATACACATGGAGAAGATATTAAACTTTAATCTAGACTTATTTGAAGTCTACCATCCTGGCTACACTAGACTTTTCAAATGTCTTGGGATTTGTTAGCTAATGCATTCATACTTCATGCATTTAACTTTACTCCTTAGACTAGACAAGGCCTTAGAAGCAATCCTTTTAAATTAGCTTTGAAGCATACTGTCAGAATATCATTCAGGAGTTTATATTGTCCTTGCTTTATGTTGTGATCTGTATATTGAATTAGGCTTCAGTCTCCACTAGCAAAAGTGATATTCATGATACAAGGTTACTAAAAGTATACTTGGTAACACTAGCTGTCAAACAATGAAGTGTAGCTTTGCAGGTACACGCCTAAATAATACTCAAATTGAGGCTAAAAAAACCCAAATTGATAGAATATACTTAAAAGACTGCATTTATTACAAAGGTGTACAGAGTTTATGCCATTACTTGTGAATACTTAAGTTTAAACTACAAACAACATACAAAGCTAGGTTACAGTATGTAACAGATTCAACAGTGATTATCTAGTAAATTCAGTACAACATTATCTACTGTATTTAATTTCACAAAGCATTTCTGAAACAGAGGCACTTACAGAATTAACCCCCCCAAAAAACAAAATCTAAAAAAACAAAACAAAAAAGAAAAAAAAAAAAACAAACCAAACCACAACACACAAAACCCCCACATATATTCTTTCAAAATATAACATCTTAATTCCATTCCCCCTCTTCTATGGCATTGTGGATAACTAGTTTGACATGAAAGCAATAGCTACCTGGACTGACATGAGTAGTGCTTAAACTAAAAGTTTATGGATCAACTTCTCCATCTTTTCTATAACCATCCAATTGTCTTAACTGTGTGAAAACAAGTTTAAACAGGAGGCATGGCAGCAACTAAACTAAATTTGGTTCTGTGCCTTATAGTTAATGATGATTTATACACTAACAGTAAGGAAAGAACTGACAAAGTGCTCCAATTATGAATTAAGTGGACCATTTTCTCTTACTTCAATTAATTTTGTAACTAGTAGTTCCTTGTATATCAATGATTCATCTCTTCACTTGCATAGTTTTCATTAGCATATGTTCACTAAAGTAAAGGTGTAAATTTTCAGGCTCCTTCACCTCATCCTCTCCCACCACTCCACATACAGTGGTGTTCAAGGCAATTTATTTGGTCTGTACAAAATGTGCATCAAAACTTTAGATTTGAGGACCTCTGTTAGGGATGGTGGCAGATGGCTGCACCAACTTCTCATGACACTGCAGATTTTTCTTTCATAACCAAAAAAGAACCTTACTTACACTGTCACAAACTGTAAGCTTTTTACACCATCCGGAGGAGAGGAAGAGCAGTGTGGAGTAACAACCTCATGAAAGCAAACACTAGAACACCATACCTGTGCTCTAGGAGCATGGCAACTGTGCTCACTGGCCAAACTCCATCCGGCAGCTGGTCAACAAAGGTGCTTCTACAGGAATAGACACACAGGTATGATTCACAGCAAGGGAATCATTTCTGCAGCTATTCAGTGCCCTCCCACACATAAAAATTCCAGATTTCAAGGGAAACACTTCATCCCCCACACAGGAGACACTCTGCATTTCTGGTTGTTCTCACCTAACTCCAAACACTGTACTGATGCATTGCTAAATTTCTCAGCAGGGAGGAAAGAGGAGGAATAGAGAGATACAGGGCATGCATGCTCTGCAAGTGCCTCCTGGCACCATTTCATGCTGTTAACTTCAATACTCTTCTCAGAGAGGTGTAACAGAGGGGCATAGGTTGTCAAGAATCCCAATGCTAAAAGCTTTCTATAAGTTTCTTCTGAAATGCCCTGAAGACTTCCCTGAAAAACAGAATTGGAATAACCCAGAAATAGACCCCAAAAATCAGGAAGAGAAATAAAGCTGCCTTTGACTGCAGCAGTTTTCATTCATTGTATGAGGTAAAGCAATGCCACCATTGATGTTTTTCAAACAGTAATATACCCCAAATGTAGAACCACAGGACAAATGGCTCAACAGCCTCTCTAAAAAAATAAAAGTCAGTGTATGAGACAGATCAAAATTATTTTACTAATTATGTCACAGGGATACATACAACAGACCACATAGCTCTACTGAGGAATAACAAACTGTATTTCAATGTTAGAAAAGATAAAATTGTAGAGGACACTAAAAAGAAATCATGATTCATTTGATCAATACAAGGTGCATAGAACCAAAAGCCTTACAACCACTAGTAGCAGTCATGAGGATGCCTCAAGATATTACATGACTGCAAGCACTACCTTCTTGAAATGCTACCTCGCTGTGGCAAGGTCCCACCACTCTTCCTTTCCCTGACTTCCCATTCTCTGCTCAGCTTAATGAGAATGCTGAAGTCAAAATGGAGGTTAAATCTCTACTGTGTGTTGGGCTGGGATTTCTTAACCCTCCTTTTCCATTATTATTCACATGCAGATTTGTCATTCTGAGGTTCCTGCCGTCTGCAGTTCCCGCTAGAGACAGACAGTGACAAACCCCAAGCATTTAAAAGCACCTGTAAAATAAATTCCTCCCTTATGATGAGGCAGAACTAAACACTGGCAGATACTTCTGCTAATTTGTCTTCCAAACTCATCAATAACAGATGACTTAAGTAAGCTTGTCCAATAACACTTGGATAACAAATACTCATCCAATAATTTTAATGAAGTCTCAGGTTTTCAGCTTTTGATCTATTTGTTCTAAGTGGCAGATAGTTTGGTTTTATTGTTAATTTCTAGCACTAAATTAAAATGGCCTGAGAAAAACACCCAGTGAAGGCACAGTTTTTAAGCCTTAAAATTCAGAAAGAAAACAAGGAAATCATCAACTCATGCTAGTTAGCACAGCAAAATGAAACAAGGCCAAAGAATTACATGTGTTTGCTACTGGTTACAGCAGGAAATTATGTTTCAAAAAAGGAAAACTGCCTTTTGAATGGGAAAAGTATTACATGGCATCTTACCTAACAACAGTAGCTTCAAAACAGGCAGAACATATGTAACACATATCAGGTAGCTTCTGAAGAGATTGAGTTTTTATGTTTTAATACCGTGCAAAAGTGCTTCAGCTTTGGGCATCTGATAATGCTTGTATTAGACCATTCCTTTCAAAATTATTGCACAGCAAATGTTACTGTGGTTCTTACTTCTGAAGTACTCCTCCTTCATGCTTTCCCCATTGTCTAGAGAACAAAATCTCTTTTTGTGTTTGAGGTATAAATCAACAACTTCTGCAAGAAAAATAATACTGCCTCATACTTGAAGCATTTAAAAAAAGATACCGAAATAACTTTCACTTTACTGAGACAAAAGATTGCCGTCTTCCAGAAAAATATACTACGGTTGCGTGGTGTAAACAGCACAAATTATACTTTTAAAAGTTTTGTATGCAGAAGAGAGTAGATGATCTTTTCAATAGGTGGGCTTCTGAGGATCCACATAAGCAGGGTTGTAAGGCGGCTGGCTGATTGGGTAAGGTGCTCCAGCATCAGCTGCAAAAGCAAAACACAAGAGAAAACAAATCTGTAAAACTTACATTCTGAATTCTACATCTAACACAGCAACTTCTGTCTTAAGCACACAGTTGAGAGGCTCAACTTATCTAGCATGTTAACTGGACTTGAGAATAGTTTGTGCTAACTCGTAAAACATCCATATTTCAAAAGGTCACAAAGATCTTTATTCTTGTGGGTTTGTTTGGTTTAGGTTTTGTTTGTTACACTTAAGTGCAAATGTGTATTATGGCAGCCACAAGTACATGGTTAGCCTTCAGGAGAGGACATAGTCTGAAAAACAAAGAAACAGATCTGGTCCAAAAAAGCAGCCAGTGCAAGTCAGAGATGCACAAACAGGATATACCTGATAGTATGGTGAGAAGTGAAAATAAACCACTGGGCAAAAGAAAAAGGACTAGAGGAAGCATCTTAGGATTCTTTCAGGGAAAATGCTTTCCCAGTAAAGTGTCACAGAGTTAATTAATTAAAAAAAAAAAAAAAAAAAAAGGTGTAGGGGGAAGTATATCATTGCTACCAAGCACATTAAAAAGTTTGACTTGATTTATATACTAGAATGTATATCACTCAGAAGCTACCTTTATTTTATAGTATTCTGGGACAAGAAGCTCAAGTGGCATCTTCAATTTCATGTCTGTCAAACAGCACATTAGTTCAGATAATGAACCACCTGATCAGATCCCTGGAACATATAAGTGTGGGTATCTTTCACTGATCTTGTAAAGTGAGTGGGTTTGGCTCCTGTGTGACCGAGCAGGTACTTTCTCCTTTGCATATGACCTAATTAAGAGGCTGTCCCTTGGTTAACAGACAAGAGAAATAAAGGAAAGCGCTCTCACTTTGAGGCATTCTCAGCTGGCAACATGGAAAGTGCTTCAAGATTTTCCCAGAAAAAAAAAATATTTTAAGAACTAACAAACCAGTAACAGTTTGAGAAACCAGAGTAGAGGAAGTAGAATTACTAGTTTACTGGCTCACTTTATCATATAAAAATGAAGCCACAGCACTTTGGGTAATCTCATAAATCTCACAGCTTCTTCAGTTTACAAGAGAAAGTCAACAGGCCTGCCAAGTCAGTGTTCTTACATGTGAGGCTGGTTTGCACATTGTTAATGTGCAATTTCTAACTGGTTTACAAATGCTTAAACCCATGAACAGCCATTTTATATTTGGGCTGTCACAAAAGAGTTACTTTCTAAGCATTATCTTAGGATTCCTTCAGGAATTCTGGACAATACTTTGCTTGTTACTTAGAAGGATGAACAGTGTGGTTTGTAAGAGGGCTTAATGATCCTAGGAATAACAGTCTAGTTTTGACCACTCTGAAGAGCCAGGAGCCAATTGTTCAGGGAACAGGTATTACTTGTTCAGAAGTGGGAATTAGTAACAGCAACAATAAAGCTGCATGAAAACAATTATGTGAAAGAGGGAAAGCAGAAAAAACAAAAACCAAAAAACCAAAAAACCAGTAATTTAACTTCTACTCATTGGCAAACTTGTCTGAAGTTGATCAGAGACTCTGTATTCTATGGAAATAGTGACGAACTACTAGAAAATGCCATCTGTGTATAGATTGAAACATCTAGCAAGTATTAATTAGAATGTGTATGTAAAAACACAACTATGATACATACATTAACTGGACTTTTAATATGAAATTTTAAAAGTATTAGTAAATTGCATTAAATTAGTAAAACATTCTACTGGATCCTCCAACAGTCCCACATACCACCAAACTCCGCAAATGCAGCTCCAGCTACATCTCCTCTTGCAATGCTTAAGATAGAAACAGTGATGGGGAAATTGCAAGGGTGAATTACGGCACCCACCATAACTTGAGTTTTACATAATTTGTTTACATTTACATTCATATAGTCACAGAAAATAATAAATGTAAATAATACAAGATTTGCTCCAAAGCAGATGTCTCTTCAGCTATTTAAGAGATGAAGAAGCGCTCAGCATTGCCTTACCTGCCACTGTTTCATGATAAGCTGGGGGTCCTGATGGCTGCATGGGGTAAGGGGGAGGATACTGTACAGGGTACGGTGCTACTGGCATTCCAGGTTGCGGCTGGACAGCCACAGGCTGATATCCTTGATAGGGGGCTCCTTGGTAGTTGAGTGATGCTCCCTGATAGGGGTCTACCTGGTAGTTGGGTAATGCTCCCTGTTGTTGGGGGTAGGGAGCATGAACCACTGTAGTGGAAGTAGTGGTGGTCACAACAGCTGCAAGCAAGCAAAAGGAACATGGTTAGTGTCAGTGGCTCATAAAGGTCATCTGGGACAGCCAGTAACAGCAATGTAAAAAACGTTCTCTCTCAACCTCAATTTCTCATGTCAAAATCTGAGCGATTTTGTTTTGAGTTCCACAAAAGACTTAAAAACTTATGTCTCTAAATAATGCTTCCATTGACCTCGGTGGCAATGAGAGCCTTCAGCTATTGAGATAGCAGCCAACTTACCTCCTTGTTTCTCAGCCACAAAGAGCAAACAATTTTTGTCTTGGACTCTTTAAAACCAGGAACTCAAACCTGCAGCCAAGGTATCTATCATTTGGTATGAGACTGGAAAACCTGCTGATTTTTAAACGTTACCTGCTTTTAAGGGTTAAGATATAAGGGTTAAGAATATCTCCTTTATTAGGTAAGGAGCTTCCTACCATCCCTGCCCAAATGAGTTTTCTTTTCATGTTGCCTATACACTAACAAATCCATATCCTCTGCTTAAACAACAAAAAAACAAACCCAAACCCCCATGTTGGGGGATGGGGAAGAGAGAACTTCTGAATACTTAGAAAATATTCCAAAACACTCTTCTGCAACTTGACATTCTGAAACAGCTTAAATGCTTATTTTTCGTGTTTAGGTATTGCAACTCCTGCAGCAGAGACATAAGGCAAGATTATTCTCACCTTTTATAGGAACACATAGGGGGATGGGGAGGCTTGTTCAAAGATATGAAGAAGAAAATAAATATCCGGGTACTTACGCCGTGGTCTTCGACATGCTTTATACAAACAGCAACATGAACAGGTGAGGCACAGAATAATAGTAATTATAATCACCGCACAAACAGCAACTCCAATCGCAGCAAGGGTTCCAAAACTGCAAAAAAGATACTATCAGAAGTAGTAAGATTCTTTCATGCAGATTTATTATTCTTCATCCTACCCTTCTGTAGCAAACACATTGCTCCTCCTCCAATCTGTTACTGTTTCATGCATTTGAATATGAAATACCTGTCAAATGCAGCGCTACGTGAGGTCCGGTCTGCTAAACCAGTGGACACAGAGCAACCCCTATCAAGGGGCATGCTCCCCTGTGCATAAAAAGGACCCAACATGAGTCTTTGGTCCCTCTCATTTTAGTGACACTGTGATTCTTGGTATTTTAGTACAACTCTGCGTCCCTTTATGTATTCCAAAAAGTTACAGCAACAAATGTCAAAATCACTGCTTTGATGACTTAATTTTCCAAGCATTGCTTGACTGCTCTGAACACACAGGTAGGCACGCCTCAAATGGAGCACCCCAGACTTCAGGGTCACAGCAAGTTCTTCATGCATTGGTAAGACCTCCCACACCCAAACTCAAGACAATTTTGGTACTGAGCAGACCTCTTCATGCTGCACATTCTTGGCAGGTTCCTTGGTATTTGTAAACACTTGCTTTAGAAGCCACATTTCACATGCTTTGGAAGATCTGAAATTCTGCTAACTTTACTGCAACAGCAAGTATGTTACGCTGCATCTGGGAGACAGAAACACTGCCTAAGCCACCAGAACCTAGTATGAAAGGCCAAAGACTACACCAGCTTTAACCACTGGGATGAGTATCAAATGATGGGGATGACTGTTCCTAAGTTTTATTTACCACACAGGGAAGAAAAAGTATCACTGTAAATCACTAAATGCCCAGTGACAATTCCCTTTCAAGAGTTAATTCACATCCTCTTGTCTCTTATTGTCTAAAATCAATAAAGCTCTTCTTCCACAGCAGGCAAAGTCTCAAGCATTTTAATTTCTTAAAATAAAATAAATATTAAAAAAGCACCATACACCAATTTTGGGAACAATTGCAGGAAGTCATTTTAATGAACAACAAGCTCTAAAATAATGAGTAGAGAGCTGGTTTTATACCCATCCTGGTTTTCCTTCTGCCTAGAGATTTTGGCTACAGAACTCTCCAGGTTTTGCTGGGTTTTTTTACTGCTCAGTTTCCTGTTAACAGGTCTGAACAAAATAACATGTCCAGAACCTCCAACAATTTCTGCTTGGCTATCAACCAGCCATCAAATGTGAAAATTGACTTGGAGTATCAATGACACTGGAAAGGTAAATCACTGACAAAAAAAAAAAAAAAAAAAAAAAAAAAAAAGCATTCTATACCTCACCCTAACTGGGAAAATCTCACCTCAGCAATCCAGAGCAACTCAATCCCCAGTAAGATGGACACTAAAAACCAGGTTCAATTGAAAATGTATTTTTGTTTTTTCCTTTAAGAGAGGTCCCATCAATTTTACTGTTTCTGCAACAGCTGGAAGAAAAAGCTTCATATCTCTTTCAATATCTAACAGTAACTGTATCTTGTGCACCAATTTTGTGAAGCACTAAATATAATCCTATGCATCTACTCCTCAAGTACTAAATCCAATACTGTGGATTGCCTACAGTCACTGCATCTCAGCATTTACATGTAAAACAGGAAGCAGGAACTGCTGCAGCCTCCTGAAGTCACAGAAGCCACGTCAGAAACACTGCCAGGAAAGCAAACAGATGATTGCAATGCAGCTGCAGATACAAAGATGTACACATGCTTTGTCACATTTATTTGCACTTTTACTGAATGTTTTGCATATGCTGACTTGCACACACAAATGCATTCCTAACTATGATGCTTTATGTGTTCCCCTCATCCTCACGGGCATTAGTTTCACTTGAGCACAGTAAGTTCACAGCCAGCTCATCTCCACCCCAAAATCTCATTTCTCCAAGCTTGGTAGAAAAAGGAAGATACAAAATGCAATTGTTGGCATAAACATGCACGGTACCACATCCTGAAATACAGGCTGCCTCCTGTCCACAAGGCCAACAGCAAACACACATCAAGTTAGCCTGGAAACACAAGCTGAGTATTTGTGTATCAGGAAATGGATTAGATGTAAGAGTGACCTGTGGAATTTAGATTGATTCTACAGTGTCGTTATTAGATATTCATTATATAAATTCATATATACACAGGAGAAGAAAGAGAAGTGTGAACTTCACACATTAGACTTAACCATCTTGCCTCCAATGTTCGAATAGCGTGTCTGTGACAAACCACAGACACCTCTAGAAAATACATGACAACAAATGTTACCTACAATTACTGCTACTTGTGGAGTGCCAACAGCATTTTCCTTGCTCTTGTTCCCACTTACCTATCAACCCTCAGAAAGCTCTCTCACTAGGGAAGCTAACATTTCCATTACACACAATTATTACCAAGCAACATTAGCAGAGACAACAAAGGGAAAGTGTCTTCTAGGTTCTTCCTCAGGCATTTTCCCTAGGAAAGAAAGTAAAACCAAACAAACTCACAACAAACCCACTACACCTTTTTCCTAGTGAACTATGCTATGTGTCAAGGAAGATTAGGCCTGAAAAAGAGAACTGAAATTTTTCACTTCTACAGACAATGAACCTCTGAACTTTAGCAAACGCTGGGCAAAATCAAAGAAACCTAAGAAATGGAGAAAATGGACACAGTGAAGAAACATCTACTCATCACTACTCATCCTGCTAGCACAGCAGGAAACTGGCAGAGAGCCCTTTGGTTCTGATACAAGAGAGAAAACAGCACAAGCGTATCTGCAGCCAAGTTGGCCATCAACAGATAAATACTCGCCAGTTTGAAGCATGGGCTCCAATAGCTTATTTTAATAAAGTTTTTTGCTCACTGAAGCACATATCTCATTGCATATTTATTACCTCTAATCATGAAAGTAACAAAAGCAAAGCTCAGAGGATAAAAAAAAAAATACCCCAACCACTACCATATCCTCATTCACCATGTTGTTAGAGCCACCCTGTACATTTTCATCATTTTTCTGCATCTTTGCTTAAACGACACAACCACGGCATAATGACATTCTGCATACATCTTTTAAAGAGCTACATAGAGACACATATTTAAAGCACAAGTGTGTCAGGTATATACACTTCACAGTGCAGTTCTGTGTGTAAACACCACTGTGATTCCATTCTACCCATGAAAATACTGTGTGATTGCTACACACCAAAATTATAAGCCTTCACAAACAGCCCAGTGAGCGAAATAACAGACAGGAGTTAGTTCTTCCCAGTTTTCTAAGAACTGTACACAACTGTAGGCATTTTTATCACCTATTATACAGCAGAAGCATAACTTTCCTGCCAAAGCTTGGGCTCATGCAGACTGATGTCTTGAAACAGCAGAAGATAGCATGACTTTTACAGACAACAAACCAGTAAGTGCTATGAACTTGCAACTTGTGGCATCAAAACCTTCTTTCAACATTAGAGCTCTTCAAAAGTTTGTGGGTTGTGGTTTGGGTTTTTTTCTAACCATTCCTATTGACGATCAAAACTAGCATTACTCTCGGAATATCTGAACAGTCAGGCGCTACGTTATACTGCCCTAGCAGTACTGCCCTGAGCACTTCTTCCTGAACATCAGTAATGAAAGTCACAAAAGGGTAGGAAGATTACCACCAGTAGATTACTCAAGTGAGGCCAGAATGGTGTTCAGCATACTTTACTCGGTGAACCATCTAGGCTTCAGGAGACAAGATATTCCAGATACTGCATAAAGACTCTCTTGCAGCATGTTAACTCTAGAAAGCCTGTACTCCTTTCTTAAACAAAACCATTGCTTCATTAATTGCTTTCACTTGATGAATCTGCCTAAAAGGACTTTCAAAATATTTGAAAAAAATATATTCACATTAAATGATAATTTAGTTATCTCTGTTAGCATTATGCATAAATGAAAAAGATCAGACATGAGGGACTGTAGCTTAAAGATTCCTCCCCTGAATGGTTAACCAAGAAAGAGAAATTAAATGAAAACCCAAATCAAAAAACACACCTTCCCCACTGCATTCTGCAAACAAACATCAAGGTGTAGAAATCAGAGAGGCCACAGCACCAGATCAGAATGCTCTGCTGGCTTCACAGTCTGAACACGGGTTTCCAGACTCCCACATCATATATACCAGAGTCTCTAAATAAAGCACACCCTGTTATGAACAGCTTGAGTTTACTCACTGCCATTTCCTGCTTCTTTCTTCACATAAAAGCTAACTTTTGTCAATAATTTAACAGAAAGCAAAATCAAATCTAATAGCAGTTCTACTGTAGCAATGATGAACCGCAACTTCTTATAATATCTACAGGCAACTAAAAGTGACGAGACAACTCCCTGCCCTTTCCTACCACCACCTCTCTCTTTTGTTGCTCTATTCTACCCCTATTCTCTCACCTTCGGAAAGCTCTAAATTGTATATGTAAGGAGCATACTCAAAGATTCGCCTTTCCTTTAAAGTTGCCTAATTATTCAAAATATGCATCAGTTCACATAAAGGCAGGTACGTGATCACCTGTTTTACTCCTGTTGGTACTAAATGAGATACAATGGGCATATTAAAATATGAGTATCAAACACAGGATCTAAATAGTACTATTTGTAGAAGTTAATTCTCAGGGCAGTTGTTCATGTCAGAGATCTCAGTCTTAAACACTGCCAAGTGTGGGGGGGACGGGACGGACATAAAACGATTGAGCGTATTTAAGGCCTTTTAAATGCCAACCTTATGAAGTTTAACCAAGCCAAGTGCAAGGTCCTACACCTGGGTTGGGGCAATCCCAGGCACAGCTACAGGTTGGGTGGAGAAGGACTTGGGGGTGTTGGTTGATGAAAAGCTTGATATGAGCCGGCTTCAATGTGCACTTGCAGCCCAGAAAGCCAACCGTGTCCTGGGCTGTATCAAATGAAGCATGACCAGCAGGTCAAAGGAGGTGATCCTGCCCCTCTACTCTGCTCTTGTGAGACCTCACTTGGAGTATTGTGTCCAGTTCTGGTGTCCTCAACATAAAAAGGACATAGAGCTGCTGGAACAAGTCCAGAGGAGGCCACGAGGATGATAAGAGGACTGGAGCACCTCCCGTATGAAGACAGGCTGAGAAAGTTGGGGCTGTTCAGCCTGGAGAAGAGAAGACTGCGTGGAGACCTCAGAGCAGCCTTCCAGTATCTGAAAGGGACGTATAAGGATGTTGGGGAGGGATTCTTCATT